GACAGCAACTTGTCTGTTCCCCTTCCCCCAATTCCCCAGCACTGTTCCCATATCCCCAATTCCCCAATTAAAAAAAAAGAATACTAACTTAAGAGTTTATAGAAACATAAAGGAAAGGATTAGCTGAATTTAATCAGCCTATTCTATATGTTAAACAGTTTGAACTATACACCAAGGGGTTGAATTCCAAAATTTAACTTCATAATCTTCAAAATCTTCTATTTTTTCTGAGTTTTTTATTTGGCTAGTTTTGTAGTTATCGCGGATTCATAAAAGTCTTTTAGTTTATTTCTACTATTAGATGGGAAATCCTTGTAGGAAAGGAAATTCTGGATCCTTACACTGCTCTCTATAGAGGAAACTTAATAAATCCTGGAAACCTACCTTGCTCTCTGAGTTATTTGTATTTACATCTTTTATTACAAATTATGGTGCAAACTGCCATGATTAAGAAATATTTTTATTAAGATAGGCTATGCTAAAAACAATGACTGTGTTTCACTTGAAGTTTTCTCTATTTCAGAATTTGGATTAAAACTTTTGAGCAGTCATTTTTCATTCATTCTTAAATGGAGTTAAAGTCTATTTTAGTTTGAACCAGAAATGCTATAGTCTTGCTTGTCATGTTTTATTAAAGGGCCAAGAGTCTGACAGATGATCTTCACAATTACAGTATTAAAGCATGATGGATAAGAGCAAGACAGTTTATAATTTTATTTCACATAATGCCAAAAGCCCTTTTCACTAGAGTCCAAGAATTATTTCACTGGTTTATAGTTGTCAAATATAGCTTTAGCATCTAATAACACAAATTGCTAATAAGTTCATACACCAGCCTTTTTTATTAGACAGCGATTTGAACTGAGATCCAGGCTTAATAAATTCTTTGTCTCAGAAATGACCAAGAAAAAATTAGGGTGATTTTTTTCCTCAACAATCCAATAATGGAAAGATTTAAGATACTAATGCTAAATAGTGGTCAACACCCGGCATATATTAAGCCAACTCAGAAAATTAATTTAGATAACTCAACAAAGCTTGATGGCATTTGTCAAAGAATTTTAAAGAGACTCAACAATTATGCCAGAACGATGTTGATGAAAATGTTTAATCTGTCATTACAAACAGCTTGTGTATGGAAGAATTGTTGGAATGATCTCTATACACAGAGTTCCAGAAGACACTGGAAAGTGAAAACTGTATACATACTTTCAAACCTACACTTCTGTACAGGTAAGCTAATTGAGTCCTAACAGAAGAGCAACTCTATAAACATAAAAATAACTATTTGAGGGCTGGCCGAGTGGCGCGTTGGTTAAGAGCTGGCTTGGGATGGCAGAGGGCCCCGGTTCGGATCCCACATATGAGGGCCAGTGACACTGCCCTCTACAGCTAAGATGCTGAACAACAGCTCAGCCTGGAGCTGGGCTGCTGTGAGTCGCCGGCGATGGCAGGTGGGTTGCCATGGGCTACCGTGTGTAGCCAGCTGCCAGCATGAGCAGCCAGCAGCCACTGTGAGTGGCCGTCCAGAAGCCGGCGACTGATCTGCCTCGCCGGGGAAGAGCGCAATGATGGTGCCAACCTGGGCCAGTGAAGCAACGTCCTCCACAACTAGACTGAAGAACGAAAGAACAGCAACTTGTCTGTCCCCCTTCCCCCAATTCCCCAATAAAAATATTTAAAAAAAAAAACTATTTGAAATGTATATGCCCTGCTCCAGCTCATTATATCTAGTATGTGCCTGCAAACCAGCCTGGGCAAATTTTAAGGAATATATTAAGAAATTTTAAAATCTAATAAATATATTATCTGGACTATCATTTATGAACCCACAAAGGAAATATTCTCCCAGGACACTGCTACAGAAAGCAAAAAGAGGCTTAGGATGAAGATAAAACACAAGAGAATTTAGCTAAAAATTAAATAAATGAAACAGAAAGCATGATCATATCCTTACTTAAAATATGATACGATGCACCATAAATTTAAAAGAAATAAAATTCAAGCAATAGGATGAAGAAACATTAAGTCAGTTATCAACTTATTTGTCTCTCAGCTCCAAATTCACCCTTCTTGCCTGAACTACAAAAATTAATCTGGACCCTTTACATATTTTTTTCTCTGCCAGGTGGTGTGATACAAGCTTTGTAGAGAACAATGGGTAGCACTGAAAAGGAAGATGCTCTCCTTCCAGCATGATTTTCTCCAGTGCCACGTGTCTCCAAGTCATAGCTTTCACTGCATATTTCCTCCAGCTCTCAACTCACACAGCGGCAGTGTGTCCAAGAGCCTCAGGCGACTTACGTCTGCTCAGGTCACTGCTTCCCACACCATCTGCATATCCCTGGAAGTGAGCACAAGGGAGGTCCTGTGGGGCTGGTCCCCCAGGGCCTCTCTGGCCCAGAGTGTATACAGAAGTGTGCTGAGTTCCTGCAGAAGGGGGCCTCTGCAGCTCCCAGTCCCAGCAGTGCCTGCAGCGGTGCCCCAGATTCCTCCACATGCTCAAATGTCTGTGTGCCTGCCCATCCACCACAACTCGCATGCTCTCTAAAGAGCTGTTCCCGCGGGTCTGGTGACTGCGGATCAGCTCTGGCCCAGGCAACCAAGTGAACTTCTGTGCCATCCAGAGCACTGAAACTGTATCAATTTTAATGAGAACCAACCCTTCCACGGAAGTTTCTCCTTCCTTGGATACACTCCCTCAGGACTTCAGTACCCTGCAGAGTTTGCTGTCTACCTTTAAAGTTACTCTCCTGTTATTGCTTAATAATTTTTTACATTAAACATCCCCTATTTAAATTATTGTGTGTTGGGAAACAATTCTCCCTGGATTTCCTGGTGTTCCTGCATGGTCGGGGCCTTCTGAGCAAAAAAAATTGATACTCTATGATAAATATAAGTCTCCCTCCCTGGAGACACTTCTAAGATAGTAAAAAATTCCCCTCTTCTTTCTAGAGATTTGCTGTTAGCTTATATTTAGCGTAACAAACCTACATATGCCCTTTCCCCTCCCTAGGGAGGATAAGTTTAATTCCAGAGTTAAGATGAAGGGTGTGTGTGCATGTATCTTGGCTGGCAGTTGTGCCAGCAACCCTATACAAGCTCTCAGTGTCATAATCTTAAGGCTCCTCTCCTGTGGTGCAACCCTGCTACATGTGCAGGTTAACCCACACTAAAATGTACTATGAGTAATAAATTCTGCTCTACGATCTACAGACTTCATGCTGCCTGTCAGAATGTCTACGTACACATACGAACTTGGTTGGTCTTCTGATTGGATCTAGGCTGATATAGATACATAAATAGCCTTCTTAGAAAAATGAGGAGCTATGTGAGAAAATACTAACAATATTAGCTCTTTTAGTGAACAATATCATAAACTCTCACTCAGATCATGAATGCTATGTATAAGATGAATAATAGGTTCAGAAGATAATCTCAAACTGCTATTCATCCAACAATACAAACTAACTGCCTACCGAGCACCAAACACTACACTAGGTGCTACAGATACAAAGATGAATTCAATGTAATTCTCAAAGTATGGAAAACATTTTTTAGATTTAATTTTATTTCAGTGGCAATTACCTTTAAATATCCTAGTTCATTCCCAGAAGCAATAAATGTTAACATTTTCTTGTGTATTCTTCCTAAAGCATTGTGTGAATATATGTAATTATTTATATTTACACACACACACACAAAAACATAAGCAATCCAAATGTTATTACATTATGGGTTTTCTCATGGTAATAATCTTAATAAAAAGTGCCCACTAGAATTATTATTTTAGAAAATGCTAAGCACTATATAACTGAAATCCCCTGGTAATTATATGACAAAGTATTATATCATTCGGTGGTAATAAACTTAGAAAACCCACTGTCTTCCAAAAAGTGATAAAGATATTCAAAATAATTTGCCAAATATACTTATATGAGGTTATTGTTATAAGATTAATATTAAAATTAATATCAGGGATAACAGCCACTGGAGAAGCCAGTACAGGTATTCATTTCTTATTAGCAGGTTTTATTAGGCTATTGTGTTTTAAAAAATGCATAATTTTAGTGATAACTGTCATTATAATCATACTTATTCTTATATTATTATTATACTGATTGACATTTTTTATTACCCAAACAGGTAAAGTTTGCCATACAGATATAATGAAACCTACAGCCTTGTTTAAACATGCTTATTTCTTTTCTGGCAGCTAAGACAGTCAATGAATATTTCTTTAAGGGGATTAATGCCAAATTAAGAACAACTAAAGAAACCATAGGGGAATGCTACCTACATCCTAGACAAAATTCTGTTAGGCTATCTTCATTTGAAATGAAAGGAAAACTCAGTAAACATTTATTCAGCAGGTAGTTCCCATTTTGATGAGTTTTAATAGTAATCTGTTTCTTACTGAGACAAAGTATCTTTCAGGTTTTATAACTGTTCCAATTATTACTGTCACATAACAAACCACCCCAAACTTCCTGACATGAAACAAAAGCCATTTTATTGTGCTCACCTTCTCTGAACCAGAAATTCACAAAGGGCACACTGAGTGAGGATGGCTTGTCTGCTCCACCAGGTCTGGAGAATCGACGCTGAGTTTCAAAGTCTAAGAGTGTCTCTCGGGCTGATTCAATGGCCGGGACTGGTATCATGTGAATCGTCTGATGGTTCATTCTCTCAGGGTTTGGTGAATGGCCTGGAAGGACTTGAAGGCTAGGACTGCCCACCTGAGATCTGGGGCTTCTCCATGCGGCTTGGTTTCCTCAGAGCATGGCAGCTGCAGGTCCCAGGCTTCTCAGCGCTCCAACCAGGCCAGTGTTCCAACAAACAAGGTGGGAGCAGCATTGCCTTTTAAGGCTGAGCCTTAGAACTCACACAGCGTCACTTCTGTGGCATTCTAGTGGTTACCAGTGAGTCATGTGCGTGCTCAGATTCCACAGGAAGAGGACTCCCCAACTCTCAGTGGGGAGCTGCAAGTTCTAGAAGAATATGTGGGGCAAGAGATATTGCTGTGGCCATCTTTGGAAAATATAATCTGCTATCATAACTTCATACTCGCTACATGATTTGGTTAAAATAATATAACAAATAGCACTATGTCCTTTGATTGATTTTAACCCTGACTACAAGATAAAGTTTCGCCAAAATGATTGTATTTTCAGCCTTGAAAATAGAAACGGAAATTTATATGAATATTATGTTATGTAATATTTACAACTACCTTGTAAAACAGGTGCTATTATCATCTGTATTTTAATAGATGAGAAAGTTGAGTTCAGAAGCTGAACAACTTATGCAGAAAGATAAGTGCCAAAGTTGGGATAAATCCAGACATGGGTGTCTTCAAAGTCCAGGCTCTTTGCACTGAACAGGCAGTCTGCCTGTTATTTAAAACCTACAGTCTTAAATAAAACTCACGCAGATCTCACGCATATCAGAACTGCGCAAAGCAAGGACTGCCTGCATCTTGCTTTGTATAGATATAAGCTCTTCAAGGATGACTTTATAACCCAACCATGTTAGATAGTTGTACTAGCTTAACAACTGTCTATAGATCTAAATACATTACCAAAACAAAAACAAACAAACAAAAAATCTCAATGAAATGTACCAGGGAGCAGTCTCTGCCATGGTATCTCACGTGTAATCCAAGGATGGGGTACCCACCCTAGCTTTTAGTAAGTGTTTAATTGATTAAGTAAATGAATTCTAGGGAAATTTTCCAGATCATTATGTATAATAAGCACTTGTGTATTTCAGAGAAGCTACACTAGTACAGCATTGGTGGTATAGTGGTGAGCATAGCTGCCTTCCAGAGAAGCTACACTAGGTACTGAAAAAAATAAATATAATCTATCCTCTCATTTAATTTTTTTTTTAAGATTTTATTGGGGAATTGGGTGGTGGTGGAGGAACAGCATTGGGGAATTGGGGAAAGGGAAACAGACAAGTTACTGTCCTTTTGTTCTTCAGTCTAGTTGTGGAGGACGTCACTTTACTGGCCTGGCCCATGTTGGTATTGTGATCCTTGCGCTCTTCCCGGGTGAGGCAGTAGCTCACCAGCCTCTGGAAGGCTGCTCACGGTGACTCACGGTGGCTGCCAACCACTCACAGTAGCTTATGGCAGCCCACTGCAGCAGGAGCTGCAGCCTACTCAGTCGCCAGCAACTTACAGCAGCCCAGCTCCAGGTCAAGCTGTTGTTCACCATCTTAGCTGTAGGGTGCAGCGTCACTGGCCCTCATATGTGGGATCCAAACCGGGGCCCTGATGCTCAGAGCTGGCGCCCTCAAGCCAACTCTTAACCAACTTGCCACTCGGCCGGCCCATCATTTAAATTCTTAAAGGTCTGTGTTTTCTCTTTCAAGAATTATGGTCTTATCTGTTTCTAGTATTCATTTCTGTTATTTTATATTATTTCTTTATCTACCAGTAACAGGTTAAGCTTTTCAAAAGCAAAACAATGTGACTACTTGCACTACTTATTTTTTCACTTTCTGTAATGCCTAATATGGTAGTCTTATGTTTATGATTTGACTGATGGTGCTTTGTACAAACCATATAAAAGCCAGAAACGTGACACAGTGGACAGTTATTATTTCTTGGAGCTTAGCATCACCCTCCCCAAAAATGCATTCTTACAACTAAAAGGAAGTTAATCAGCTCATATAAATTTTGTCTTTGTTCTAAATGATTTCATTTTTGAGGCAAAATATCTTATAGTTTTAAACTTTAACCAACATTTGTATTTTTGTAGAGCATAAATAAATATATCAATGTAAGTTTTGCTTTTTTGTAATGATTAGTCTCATCTTTTATATTGGATTTACTTGAGGAATCTTCAAGGGGAATATTTTTCAGAAGAGTTAAAGAAAACAGTTTTTAATAAAACTTGACAAATTTCTTTTAAAAACAATCTTAGATGGTGTGACTTTCTCACAGTTTTGAAAGCAATTTTTTATTAAAGCACAATGATTCCTGGTTTGTTTATATTTTCTGACTATGAAAAACAAAACCTCCACCCATAAATTGGGGAACTTACTAGTTATTTGAAATTATTTTATAAATTTATATAAATCTTTTTAATATAACTTTTTAAATAATTTAAATTTTTTGTTTTAAATAATTAAAATTATAGGATTTACATAATCCTTTTATATTCCTATTTTAAATAATTTTATATAATTCTTGTATGTTAGGAAATGCTTTGTAATATATAAGAAAATAAAATTTTCTACAAACAATGCAGCAGCCCTACTGCACTTTGATGACTTTTTAAAATGCTATGCCATCATTTTGCCTTAAAAGTATATTTAATGCTTGAGAGCCAAAATAAAAAAAAATTTAAAAAAAAGAAAGAAAAAATACAATAGATATTGGTTTGGGGGCTAATTTTTAATAGGTAACTGTGCTTGAAGGCTTCCATATTATCATTTATATTAGTTCCCTATGAAATTGGGTCTCCCCATCTTCCCATCTTCCATTTTTATTTGAAATCTATTTTTTGGTTCTGACTCAATAATAATGTAATACTTTCAGAATATACATGAAATGGGGGTTTAAGAGCTTAAATAACTTGTCAAAGGCTATATACTACATTAGCAGTTTATGGAAGACAGAGATTCTACCCTCTATTTCATTTCTTATACCATTCTGGTCAATTGAAAATTCAGTTTAAAGATGATTGATGACCATATACATCATAAGTAGTTAACTTTGCTCTTGCCTAGCTGCATGATTTAATTTTCACAATAATTTCTTAAGTTTAGAATAAATTTATTAATTTTCAAACAATAAATTCAATTTGACCACAATTTTGAATACAATGAACTCTTCTTAGGTAATTCAAAAACTATAATAGAAATCTCAGAAACTGCAAACACAAATACTTCCAAGAGCCAGGTGGATTATTTTTTTTCCCCCATATAGAGCATTAATGAATGAAATTTGTAGGATTTAAGATAACAGGAAGAAGTAATAAACTGGGGAACTCATACACTGCCTAAAGGACAATATCATTGCTTGTTACCAAAGGGAATGCAGGACTTAGGGAGCATAAATTTTTAATTTTTCAAGGAAATTTGGTGAAGAAGATTTTTACTAGAAATTTCCTGATATTTAAATGGTGACAACTAATTCCAAATTTCTAAAAACTTTCTTAAGAAAATCCATCTGCAGAGTGTATTTGGCCCATGAGCTGCTGATGTGCAAGGTCTATGATGAACATGCCTATCTATCTTCACTATAGAATAATGTTGTTAAATTAGAAGACTGACCTGAATCTGTAGTGACTCTATGACATGAACAAACAAGTATTTACTGAATGCCAACAATAAATATGAAACATTGAGTGGCTAAAATTACATTATTGGATGTGTTATGGGAGTCAAAGTGAGAGGAGTCCTGAGAAATAAGATGTCAGTATGAGAGGTCAGAAGTTGTCTTCATGGAGAATGATGAAGAGAGGAGAACAGAAGTTACTGTAGAAGGAGGAACTGGTGCTTTCACTGATGAAGAATAGGGGACAGTGAGATTATCAAAGGAAGACGAACAGCAGAGCAGTGAGAAATACAAGAGAGGTAGCAGATTTCTATGGCTCTTGAAAGCTAAGCAGGGTTTAGATTTAATATGATAGCAAGTTGAAGCAATACTAGATTCTTGAATAGGAGAGTGATGTAATCAATGCCGAGGCATTTAAAAAGGATTAGTCTAGTCACGGTATATAGAGAAGACTAGAGAGCAGAGTCTAGTATCAGAGAGGCCAACTAAGAAATGGTCTCAATAAGAGTGAGGAGATGAGGTCCTGGACTCTAGAAGTACAGTAGTTTTCCACTAACCTATTTACTTGAATAAGTCCTTGGTATTAGCTTGTTCACATGTGTGCATGTGTGTACATGCACATGCATGCTTGCTTGCTTGCTCTTTCTTTCATGTACAAATTGAGGCTGGCCTGGTATAATGAAGAGAACCCTAGTACATGAGTTAGAAAACCAAGATTCTAGATCTGACACACTGCCCCTAACTAAATGTGTAAATTTGAGCAAGTCTCTTAACCTTACTGACCCTCAATTCCTTAACCTAGACAGAAAGAGACAGAGCCACGATGTTACTGTTTGAGGACCTGGATCTCAAATTCCAAAAACCAACAATTTGAAGTAATCAAATATAAATATAATTTCTGATTTCTTTTGAACACCCCAAAACTCAGGCTTCCTTGGGTTCACATTCCACATGGCAAAACTGATTGGAGCTGAATAGAGAACCCCTCTTTTAGACTGGGCACATGTTCTGTAGTTTGCCACAGTCCCCCCATTTCCTGTTGTATCCCTACCTTGAGGTTCAGGGTTAGCTGTCATTCATCATGTTTTCATTATTGTAGAGAAATATTTTTTAAGCTTTGTCTTTTATCAAAGGTGAGAAAATGAAAGACAGACATTTTTCAAGAACAATGAGAGTAAGCATGCATCTTTTTGGAAATAAAAATATTCCTTTAGATTTAATATGAAAAAAGTATATCTGTGTCAAAAGATATTTATTCTCTTAAATCATATAGTTTCATTTGAGTTTGGAAACCCTGCTATATATACTAGAAAGCCATTGAAAAAATATCTAAGGAAGAATGATCAGATTCATGTTTTAGAAAGCGTACTCTAGCAGCATGTGAAAACGCAAAGAGGATGAATGCTGGGA